CAAAGTTCATCAAATCACTTTGCAACCTCTCTGATGCATATAAACAATGTCCAGATGAAACCAAAGGCTTCCTAGGTATATTTTAGATGCACAACAAGTCAGAGGACTGGTAATTTCATTTGTGGAGTCGAAGAGTTTGGGAAAGACTTTAAGGTGCAGCTGTTTAGTCTACCTGCTGAGCCAAAGGCTATGAAGATGACAGATAGACACACAAGGAGAGAGAGGCCCACCCTTCCTGGTTGATGACATACTCCCAGCGGACAATGGGGCGCCTCTGACAGGCAGAGACCAGGCCCAGGCCCCGGCACAGGCTAGGTAAACAAGCCACAAACGCACAGGACTGAGGTGTAGAGATAAGGGAGAGGAGGAGGTGAGAAGGCTAGGGAAGAAAGGAATGCATTTAGAGGCTGAAAGGGTTGTGTTAGGTCTATGGCCTTTAAATAACCAAAAAAATGAGGCCTGTTTCAGAAAGACTAATTGGATAGCTGCTCAATACCGAGAACCTCGGCTCCAACTTCCAGGAAGCGCAGAGGCCTCCGACTGTTTTGGAAGACAATGTTTTTGAAAAAGTATTCAAAATCTGGGGGACATGTGGAACATGTGGAAAATGTGGAACAATTTCAAGACATGGAACCAGGAAGGAATGTTTCATTCCAATCCTGGCTGGGGTAAAGATGTGGCAAAATTAGGTGCTATGGCGCATATATGTGACTGTACTACCATTTTAATTAGCATGGACCCCCTGTGGGTCCAACAAACCAACAAACAAATGACTCATTAAACTGTCTCTTATCATTGGAGATTAATCTAGTCTTGCCCGAGGGGCAGTGAAAACCATAGTAATCAGTGTACATGTTCAGCTAAAATAAGGTAAGACATTTTTTGTCCTTGTCACAACAAAAGAGCTGAAAAATTATTTTAATATTTTTTTTTAAATGGAAGATGAATTTTCACTGAAAGTTCATCCACCTATACTCTAACTGAAGAACCGCAAAGCATATTCATTACTGACTACAAGTACTACTAATAGGTGGTCATTTGCATTAAAATCATTCTGATACTTGACTGATATTTCTTGACAAGCAGCCCATCCTCTTTATCACCACCATAACAATCATGATAATAATACCGCCCCATGCACATATTTTTAATCTTGATAAATGGGTGTTAAATCTTAAAAAAGGTCCAAACAAAGATCCTGAGCTCCTTGTTTTAAGCTTCAACCATTGCTTCAAGCTGCCTCCCTCACAGAAATGTGTTTGATTTTTCTGACCGCAACACTGCAGCAGTTTTGAGTCCGACTGTCTTGATATGCCGGAGCACAGCTGACGACAATTCTGTGATATGCTGAAAGCAAAATCTTTAATCTGGGACGTGAAGCCTCTAGTGCTGCTGTTATTTTCCACGCTCGGCAATCCAGCAGAGCAGTTAGTTTGGTTCCCTGTCATGAGGGTCACTTCTCTGTTGTTTGAAAGGCTAGTTTGTTTTGTGCAGTTGAGGGTTTCAACAACAGGAATCCCCCCTCCTTCCATCCCCACCCAGGCCTCTCTCAGCCCCTGCTTTGTGACAACCTGGGACATCTATTGTGACCCACGCAACCGGAACTTGTAGTGTGTCTCCCACCTACCCGGCTCATGCCTGTAACCTCAACGCTTCAGGGAGTCCGAATCGGTGTCTGAGACACTGATGACACTTTCACAATGCCCCCGAGTCACCAACCAGCACAAATCCCTGGCAAATAAACCAAGCAGAAAGGCTGAGCCTGGCGGGGATCACAGGAGACAAAGGCAAACAAACACATCAAAAGGAGATGGGAAGAAGTCAAGACTCACGCACACCCATGCACTAAGCTAAACGGCGGGGAGGGGAGACGATGGGGGAGGGGGGCTTGATGCTGATTGGTTCGTCCCGAAGGGACAAAAAAAAAACAATAAACAACTGAAAGAGCACAAGTTGTAATTCAAACCTCCAGCAAAACCAACAAAAACAAACCCAAAAATCTGAATACAAGTTGTCAGGTGTGTGGGCAAACACCTTAAATGGAATGTTGAATGGGAATAATTTGTTGACAGGACGAGAATTACAACGTAACATCCAATTTAAAGTGGCGTCATTTGGTGCTAAATGATAGTGTATTGCTATGGGTCTGAGAGTAGCAGTTCCGTGAGCAGTCATATTGCTGCAATTCCTCCTTCTTCGGTTGGTTAGAGGGGACCTATTTCTAACGCTTTCATCCAAGGGCTGAAAGTTACACTCAACCCTGAGGAGTCCAGTGGCTCCTACTGTGTTGCCAGCTTTGTAAACTACAGGAAAATTGGCCACATTTTGTAACGTGCAAAGAACATCACCCCCTCGGTACTACCCCTGCTGTGCAGGACTGTGCTGAGGCCTGCTCCCCTCCACCCTCCCAGTGGTATTAATTCAGAAGAGATGCGCCGATGCCTTTGAAAGCGTGGCAAAAAAAAAATAAGTGGGAGAAGACACTTTGCTCACAAGTTTCCTCTAGCACAGGCCACGGACTTCAGGTCCGGACACGTATTTGCTCCAAAATTGGGTGAAAAGCAGGAGCTTAAAAAAATAAAGCTAAATGACAAAACCCAGGCTGATACGCGTCTCTCCGTTGAAAGCAAGCACAAATTCTCTTTCCCTTGCCCTCAACAAAGGCCCACTCAATACCGCTCTGTGAGAATTAAGCTCAGTTTCCTTCCTTCAATTGCCCCCAGTTCATGAAACTGCCCCATGCGAGATCAAACCCTCTGGAGAGGAATACCTTTTGACCCCCTGACCCCAGTGGGCTCCAAGGGCATTTGGCTGTGCCAAACCATTTGCTCACTTACAATAAATTATCAGTCTCTTCCCTGAGTCTGCGCATAAACATTCCCATGTGTTGTTGTTTACCACACAAACAACTGGAGTTGCAGACTGTACAATTCTGGTCTTGCTTTAGAACTTTTCTTTTACGTAAAAACTTCTGTTTTGTGCTGGTCAAATGGAGTAACGTACAAAACGTATGTAAACTAGAAAATGAGCAGTTCAATACCACAGTGTGGATATTTTTAACGCTGTTTTTTTCATTTTGTATGCCAATTGCATTTGCATTAATACTTCTATTTGTGAAGGAATGTATAAACAAAATCCTTTTGACTGTACTTAATACCTTCTAAGAAAAATAGGTGGTTAAATGAAGTATTAATAGACAAAGAAAGTCATATATGAATTTACATTCTTTAAACTGAACAGTCAATTGATGTTTTTTTCCTTTACAGAAAATCACATTTTATTACTGCACTTCAATAAAGTTCCAGACAAATGGCCCACTAAAAATGAAAACACAAGATAAAATAGGCTTTAAGAAGCTTACCTTAAAACATCATTTAGAATTCGGATAAATTGAATCAACTTGCTCAACTCTTGTACGATACCTCTCTAATCATTACTCAGGTTACCTCTTCTGACTCCTGCTGTGTGTTGTTGAGCAACCTTAATGACAATATGAGTTGCAGTACTGAAATAAAATCCATCGTGATTCAGAAACGTTCAGACAAGAGTTTTGTCTAAAAACGCAAAGAAATTAAAATAAAAACTCAAACTAGTGACTTCTGCACGGTGATATTACAAGGAGCAACAATGCACCTTTGGGCCATGTGTCAATTATATTATGATGCACTTAAGGCAGCTACAATGATGCCAGCCACAGACGTTCCTGCTGTGTTAATGTATACAAATGTCCCCGAGAGTCATTTCTTCTGCTGGGCTGGTACTAAAATAAAAAAAAACAGAAGGGATCTCTATCTCTCTCCATCTCCTGTCTCCCATCCTCCTGCAGGAGCTTTTGACAGTGTCTTGTCTGCTTCAGTGCTTTCAGTGCTCACACCCTACCTCACAGGCCTGTTAACAGCATGCTGACATCCATGAACTCAGAGGCAATCCCCTCTATAACATTCTTGCTGTCCAGATGGCCTCAACAGCTGCCCTAGTGCTGACTTACTGTGCATTCCATATGTAGTAGACAGTCCAGAATCAACAGACTGGACAGTCTCCAAACAGCTTAAGTCTCCAAGCTTAGGGACACACCGTATGCAAGAATGAATTCAGGTACATGAGGTACATGAAGGTACATAGGTACATATACACCCCCTACACCCGAAGAAGGCGCCAAAATGTTGTGTTTTCATTCTTCTCTTTTCAGCATGGAATAAACCTAATACCTGTTCCATATGCCTGCTCAAAGATCTCCATGGTGACCTCAGTGGCAATTTTATTGAAAAGACATTTTGTACATTTCATTCAACGGAACCACAAAGGTTTCAACCTAAATAAAAGGCATCCAGGGAAACGTGACAGAGGAGAATACTAAAACATTTGGGCACATCTCATTTTCTTCTCTAAAGGAAGGGGCTAACAAGGCCCTCTGGGGTTCAGAGCTACATTTATAAGGAACTTCTGTGAATAAATAAGGCAAGCAACTAGAATAGACCAAAGTCAGGTCTGATTATTGCGGGTCTGGGGAGGGTCATTTGTTCCACGGTTTCTTGATTTTCTTATTGCTGTTCTGATTTTACTGAAACCATCCAACTATGCATTTTCTAACCATTTTATCAAATACAGGCAGCTGGGGCCTATACTAGCCAGCAATGGTTATATCATGGAATGGGACACCATCACAGAAGCAAACACAGACATGCACACACTCAAAACCAGGGCCACTTTTTCCCAGAAGCCAATTAACCTACCAGTGTCTTTGGACTGGAAACCAGAGCACCACGAGGAGACTCACGCGAACTCGGGAAGAACACACAAACTCCACACAGACAGCACCCCCCCCGGGGTCCAGAATCGAATTCAGGACAACTCCTGCGTCACTGCGCCGGCTCTTTTGTGAAACCAAAATGCACAATTCGAGCTAAAAAAAACACGAAAGATTACAACCTTCACGCGGGACCCACAGCAAAACGGCGATGCGGCCATATCGGGACAAGGAGAAGGGTTGGAGCGCTCACCTGCCTCCCGGCCTCGTTGTTCTGAATGTTCATGAGGGTGCGGGCGTGCTCCTCGGAGCCCTTGGGGTAGTTTTTCTCCCGCTCCCGCGCGTCCACAAACTCCTTGGCGAAGCGGTATCCGTAGTTGACGTTGTCCCCGCAGCCCCCCCACAGCCAGTCGCGGGGCAGGTCCTTGGGCCGCGCGGCCCGGCTGCAGCCGCAGGTCGATAGCTCCCCCTCGCGGCAGGCCCGGCTGATGGCGTTCACCACCCCCGCGGCGCTGATGGCGTACGTGAAAGCCGTCTCTCTGCTGCCTGTGCCGGGAAAAGAGCGACACTTGAGCACCAGGGGCGGCTACGGGCACTCCCGCGTGCGGACGGCCCAGCCATCCCGTCCAGAGGCCCACAGCCTGTCCCTTCCCACGAGTCCTCTCCCCGAGACAGAGCGCCCCCCGCAGGAGTTCCTACAGGGGTGCTCACTGTATTCGCATTTCCCAGCAAATGGCCCTTTTTGTAAAAATACCCACAAATGGCTTGAATGTCGCTTTGGGCATTTGATGAGAACACAGTCTGTCTGGTTTTATCCCATGCTCCCTGTCGTAAAGGGTTGTGGGTGTATGAAACAGGTAACCAAGCTTTTCTTCATAAAGAAAGGGCTGGATAAGATCTTGGGGTCCCTTAACTAAAACCTACCAAATGGGCTACATGGGCAGAATGGCCTCCTTTTATCTGCAACATTTTGTATGTTCTTATTATTGTAACTAAAATAACAACAACAAAAAAACACAAAGATTTTGTAAGGAAATATTTGATTTTGTACCCCGGGTAACTTCAATGCGCCATGCAAGCTCCAAATTAAATATCTTTGTTTACACCACTAGGAATTTTCTTTTTTAGTCGCTGTGGGGAGTGAGAATAAAGAGGAAATGGGAATATAAACTTTCCAAAGGGCCGTCCTCCTCTGTCCCAAATGAAATGGCATGGATCTGTATCAGTTATGTAATTGGGACCTTAAGTTTGAGAGGCCCTGTGTTTGGAAATACAGCTTTTTTGTTTTTGTTTTATCAGAGCATGTGGTTCAAGGGGTTTTCCTTTTACAACTTCTGCTCGAATTTCTATCACATTTCTTTCATGACAACCACCCATTCAGCCATTCTCTAACCACTTTATCCAATACGGGGTCAGAAGGGTGCCAGCATTTATCCTGGCAAGCAACGGGCACAAGGCAGGATACACCCTGGACAGGATGTCAGTCCATCACAGGGCAAACACACAGAACCAGACACACACAAACTCACACCAGGGTCAATTTTACAGATGTCCATTAACCTACCAGCATGTCTTTGGATTGTGGGAAGAAACCAGAACACCCAGAGGAAACCAAGATGAACATAGCCAGAACATACAAACTCCACGCAGACAGCATTCTGTCTGACACCTGAACCCAGTTCACAACAACCAAAGTAAAAAATACTTCATGTTCCAATAACAGAAACATAATGTCAAACAAATGGGTCTGTTTCTGTTTCAGGAACTCTGCCTACTATTACTACAATCCTAATACTCAAAGAGCAGCTATATATTTTAAAATAATTTTAACAGAGTTTATTTTCTAAAATGTGTTTTCCATTTCCAAGTTAATTCAGGCAGTAGTAGTGTTGGTTTTAGGAGCCTCAGTGATTGAGCTGAAATACCTGAGAGAACTCTCGTGCAGTGATGCCATCTGGTGTTAAAGTATTTTTTCTCTAGCAACCCAAAATAAAATTCAGTTCCTTAAAAGTTCCTTAAAACTTTCCTTTAAACGCTCTGAAATACCTTATTCTTGAGTTATTTTTTGAAATAATGCAATTCTTTAAGAAAGCATTATTAGCTCGATCCCTTAGGATCCCTTACAATAGTTTGATAAATAAATAAGAAATAGGCGAGATAAACGCAACGGCTTTTGCAATCCATTTCGTGGCGTATAGCCATTGCAAGTATATCATCCGTCCGTCAGAGTCAAGACAACATTCCTACACAGAACTTTCAGTGACCCCACAACCCCCGCCAATTTGAAAGACTACAAGAGGTGTGAAAGCGTGACAGAGAAAGGTAATGCGAGATTTCACCTGATATTCCTGCTTCTTTCGTTTCATTTTTTTTTTCATGAATAAGGGGACGGCTGAGGGGGGAGGAATGTTCTCACCTGTGGCTTGACACTAAGTGAAGCGAAACCAGGAATGTATAGCGCAGTTTATTAATGAGCGCCTTTCCCACCGTTAGAACCCATTCTAAAAGTGCTTTTTTCCCCCAAAGATGTACACACTATCAATTTTTCACATGGATAAGATATGTATATATAATGTTGCGGCTTTGTGCATCCAGCTTGGGACTATTTCATAGCACCTTACGATGCTCCGCTAGTTGTCGTTTATTGTTTTGTAGCATCTATTCTTTTAAGTTATGGAGACGGAGAGAAACTTATAGCCCTTTTGAAAAGGGTGACATCTGAGACAACAATTAAAAAATGAACTAGGGAATGTCTTATGGCCTTAAAGTATGCCTCGAGGCTAAATAACCCCAAAATACGGAAGACACTACACTTACACTATACAATTATACGAATGATGACGTACTGTTTCTTTTGAAATACTTGTACTCTGTCTTAATAGTACAACAGGATGCACAGCATTCCCTGGAACAACGCTTCCCAACATTGACTTTCGCATTGGGTATTTCTGGGTTGTGTTATTGATGGCGAACGCTTAGGAATTCAGTCTAAGAGTCCGGTCGTGATCGTAAGAGAAACGTTCTATAAAAGAATCAAATTACATTGTCCTTTGGTCGGAGACATCAAATAGCGCCCCGGATTTCCCGACCTCCTGACATCGTATAATTGCATTTCAAAAGAGGCCGTGGACAATAGCCAAGATCACACCTCAATATAAACCTCGCGATTGACTGCAAATAACTCCTTTGCTGTTTGTGGGGGGGAGAAGGAGGTGGGTTGTGCGAACTCCTTTTCCCTCCACGGAGGAGAGACCTTACACCTTGTTCTGCTAAACGGATCTCACACCCAATTGTTGTAGGCCTCACGTTTTGTCAATGGCTTATCTCGGCTGAATTTTCAAACAATACGAATCGCAGTCCAGTAAACACGCCTTCGACAAAGAAATGGGGATACTGACCCGTCAAAATGCGGCTTCAGGAGCAAGAGATAAAAACAAGGGAACGACTGCAGTAAAAATATTTGCTCTACATCGGGATCAGTAAATCACTATAGACCAGACGAATAATACGCTCCGTCTGTCTGCCTTGCAGTTTGGTAACTTTATTTATTATGTTATTATACTGTAGACTAATATAGTAAATCTTACTGGTTAGTTATTTATATGCTGTCGAGGTGATACTGTATATGAAATGCAGTTCTTGTTTCCAAGCACGATCACCATGGTAGCCTGTAAGAGGATTTACCGATGTATACATAAGAGTTCAGGATAACTACCTTTACACAGATTCACTTCCAAAAAGCTCATTTTGGATTTTCGTGGTCTGAAAAGCGTGCAAAAACTTTCTCTTCAACTATTCTCTTTTTATATTTAAATACACTGTGTTGATACAATCAGAAACAAAAACGGATGTAATTTGCTTAACTATGTAAGCCCGCTTTCCAAGAACAGGAAACCTAAATAGTTTACTTAATAGTCTAATGTTCCAAGCAGAACCTTTTCCAAATGCTGTTGAATATCTAGGTGCATTTTAAAGCTAAACGCGGGAACGCCTCAGTGTTCTTCAAAGTATTTTAATATTTATAAGTAATTTCATTTAAACAACATTTTAAAATGATTTACAGTTTATAATGCAGTATGTTTTAGAGAGAACCTCAAGTTTCATTTGGCATGCGACAAATATTGCTCCATGTGAAGAGTCATCGGGACCAACCAATTAGGATCACCAAAAACGTAAAAGCAAATAAACAGGTGTCCTACCTATTTGCATTACCCGGCCAAAGACTGACGTGTTGTCCACTGTGCTGCAGTTCCACCTCCGTTGTCGAAACTGGTATTGGCATTCCTTGATACCTGTCTTTGCTCCTTCACCTATATAAACCATATGGTCCTGATACAGTTGACACAGCTTCCTCTGGCCTTGGGACAGTCCAGTCAACTGACTGCACAGAGGTTGAGCACCTATAATGTACATCTCCGGCCTCTGAATAGGGTTCATCGCTAAAGACCTAAAATCAGAAAAACCGGGGTTACATACAAAGCCCACCTTCGATGTCTGTATTCCAGCAATTAATCCGTAGAAAGTAGAAGGCACAGTTATATAATTTGCATTGCGCCGTGAAGCGTCTTTAAAAAAAATCTGTTGCATTTGGTTATATATTGACTAAATAAAGTAAACGTGGTCAGCTCACTGGCGTATTTAAAAAACCATTGAACACCACTCTGAACGAACTCCCTTTACGCGCATCGTTTGGCAAACAAAGGCTTCAACAAGAAATTGTTCAGATGCTCTCAAGAAAACTATGCAATATTCATCCACAGATGCTGGCGATACATAGCCATAGTTCTACCAAATTAATATTTATATTAGTTGGCAACATCTTCAAATAAGTAATCTGGTGTAAGTATGCAAATATTTAGTTGCAGGTTTATCGCTTTGTAAGCCGACCCCTATAGCTATTACAACACAGATCAAGAGGATTTTTTTAACCACAAGAGTGCTGTTTAAGCGTTGATTCGCTGACCATTTGCATGTCATGTTAGACCGCTTCTGTCAATATCACACTGCATGCTCTACACCGTGAATAATCACTGCCTGTTGCGGGCAGATAAACTTACCACCAAGAGTTCGCATCGACTAAGAACTGCGAGCTACAGGTCATCAGGGCGACTACCAACAGTAAATGTATTCCAGCCCGGGTGACCTGTCCCTGGATCATCCTGATTTTCCAATCTCCGTGGACCAACGATCGTAATTTCAACGTGCTCTTCTGAAAATAATCCGGGAAAAAAAAGAGAGAAAAGGACAAAAAAAAAAAGATGAAGCACAATAAAAAGTGGAGCAATTTATCCTTTGCTGATATCCAACGTGTACGCATCCAGTAGAAACATCAAAGAGTCAATATCCCTGAGAAGTGTCAAAAAAGTTTCCCCGGCTTTCTTCCCAGTGAGTGCAAGTCCTGCACCCGTCTCTCAGGACGGAACCCGAGATTGTCGCGGAGAACCCGACTTTCAACAGGAGCCCTTATGAGAATCCATCACCTCGCCTTGATTGGTCAGAACCGCAACCCCCTCACACGCACAAGTCAACCAGAAAATACATCAAGGTTCTGCGGGGGGGTGGGGGGATTCCTGAACCCGTAGAACTGGGAGAAATGGGACGGGAGCGGAATGATGAGAGGAGCGTGACAGATTAGGACAAGCTTCCCGACCATCTATACCGGCGCCCTTCCTATCTGTGAATCTGATCACTTCGCCACTTACTCTACCCTGTCCTCCTCCCTCCCTCCCTCCCTCCACTTCGCCCCCCACCCCGCCCCGCCCTTGTCTCTCTCTCTTTCCTGCAGACACAATGAGCCATGAGGAAAGGAGGCTAAAACCCCAGTCCCATCTCCCTGCCCTATTTGTGGGACCACCACAGCGTTAGGAAAACACCAAATGGATAAGAACTGTGGGCTCCTCAAACATTATTTCCCGTGGTCCAACAAGGGTGAGAACGGAGAAGTCACCATACAGCACAGTGAATTTATTATTTTTGTTCTTTTATGAATATTATATTTCAAAACGTATATTCTGTACAATGCACTACTGACAGTAAAATGCTGGGCTGAAACTGAAGCCAGCGTACAATTTCTGCAAAGCCCTTGTCAAGCGCTTGCGCCGCTCGACTAATACTTGACATTTCCCGTCTTGATTATTACAAACTCCAGCATTGTCGTTCTACAACGCCGTTGGAGCTGCGAGCAAAAGCATTTTCGTTTTACGCAGATGTCTTAGTGTCAGCTAGGTTTTCCTGTTTCTTAGATTCATTGACAGTAATGGACACTCCTGATTACGGTTAATTTTACTACAACTTGTCTTGGAATCTAGTCGGCCCACTATGACTGACTCAATAACATAAAAAGCATTACAGTGTAATTAATAGGATAGTTTATGTATGTATAACTGAGGTCACAAAGACAGTACTTCCAAGATGGAATAGACAATTAGGTCTCCCATGCTCCACGTAACAGGCCTATATTTAAAGTATTTATTCATTTTGCTACTTAAGCAGACGTGTATAAATTTATGAGAAATAATGACACACCAAATGAGTGAAAAATAGAGGCCGTGATTTCCCCGGCTTCAGAAACACGCTGCTGAGTTCGCCTCGTAAGATTGTCTTCTCGGTGCTTTTTGTGAAGATTGAAGTAAACGTTCTTTGGATTTATGAACTGCTTGAATTACCCAGGATGTCCTGAATCGCATGAGTTACCAAAGCAGTCCTCCGGATTTCGTAAATGTAAGGCTAGAGGGATAGCACATTCAGCGCTTCACGTTTATGCAAAGATAATTAATCCATTGAACTCCCAAACTGAAAATTAAGAGCACCTCTTTTAGCGGTTTAAGAAAACCGTTAATATTCCACTGTTTTTCCCTGGCCAATGATTATTCTGCGTATTACTGTACATCATGGATCAAATGTAAATCCAATTTAGTTTTAAAATGGTCTAAATCAGATTTAATCGTAGTTAAATTTAAAACCACAATACGCCACACCGATGAGCAATATCGTCTAGGGACGAGGGTGGTGTTGAGGAAAATCATAATATGGCTAGAGTCATCTGGAAATTAGACAGGCTTTTGGTGTATGTATTCGGATAAATACACATGTAGCATACCTGTATAATGAATAAAAGAGATTAACCCACACACCCTCTCAGAAATTGGGCGCAGTAGGACCTCTATATCCAATAGACGAACGTTAAAAGTGCATAAGGTACAAATGATAAAAAGGAAACCAGGGAAAATCTCAGCTACATGAACATTACAAGCGCTATATTGTATACATTTAAAACCAGCAAACTCAAAGTTCGGAAATAGTTTAGAAATACTCACAAATTAAGTGAAAATACTAACATTTTAAGTAGTCTATGTCTGGAAGTTCATTATCTTACCTTTAGCGTCAGCTTTTGACTAGCCATCTTGCTGTCATATAAAATCAACATTATTCGTGTTAGTCTTCCGGATTTTTTCAACTGTTTTTACCCTGTAAAAATAATTCGCCGTGATATGCTGCGATGATTTAAAAAACAGTCCCGTTTTTATTTGCTTTTGTTGGGACCATGGCAAATTTACCATCGTGGCCAAACTTTGGTTTTATTGCTTCAATCACCGTAAGGCATACAGGTAGGGCAGCTATTTCCCGTCTTTAAAATTCTTTTCATACTGCTCCACGGAGAGGCCGCGGCAGTCACTGAGGAGTGGAAAAGACGCCATTCGATTTCCGAAACGTCTCTGCATGATAAAGTACCAGGCTGGGCCAGGTCTTTGATCTCCCTAATCCACACCCCAGAAAACAAAAAAAGGAGCACCGATCACCTTCACACGATCACCGACGTTTCGACGCAGTTCTCATCCTAATTACATGTGTAAAGCACTTTCGCATTGGACAGTTTAAAACGCGGGCAGGTAATATTTTGCCCACAAACCGACACTGAAACAGAGGTGCAGTCTGTTTCTAGTCAAAAACTTCTTAGATATACGATTTGAGGGATTCCACAGCTGCATCCACAAAAATCGAAAGCGCCGTATATATTAAATATACTGCTATATGTCATTTTCAGAGATGTATCCCAGTTGTCATCTTAAAACAGGCGGTTGTTTGAAATAAAATCTTAACTTGTTCTATTGACTAATCTGATGTTCAAGAGTTGGTGTTTATCCTGTTTGTCCCATTTGTTCCGGAAATACACTCATATTTAACATTCACTTGTGATCAAATATTTTCTATTAAGACCACGCGATGTTGCACGCACTGTACAGTTCATCTGCCCCGCCATAGATACATGCGGTGACTATAACACAGCGTGATTAAATACAAACTAGGGGAGTTAAAATCTAAAAAAATGAGATAAATAACAATAAGTCTATGTTGGAGTTTTGTTTACAAGGGTGCGTTTGCAAAAGAAAAAACGCTGTGTTTTTGTCTTGCTTGTTTTTTTTTTTAAATTGGTTTTATCCTCGAATAATCACATTTGATTTAACGAACGTTTCCTATCTGGATGGCGTAGACCATAAAATCAGTACAATAGTAGATTTGCCACAAGCAATCTGGAAAAGTCCTTTACATTGCGACACTCTGTAACTCTTCGGTTTGCCATTAAATAACTCATCTGCTTACCAGATGTTGGAACGCGCTGTTATAAATAGCATCCCCAGTTCCTATCCCTGTTCCAGCTCCTGCTCCGAACGTAAACAAAAACATGAATCAAGTGTTTATTTGATATTAAACCTCTCGGCCACAACCGTTAAACTACACTGGAAGGAAGCCTTTATGAGAAAGCAAAGCAAAACAAGACTGCGCAGTTACTATAATCCAATATAAAATACAATGCCAGTCGGACTCGAAACAGAATGAAAACAAGTCCAATTGTACCGCTGATGATGATCATTTTAAAATTCGACCGAATCAGTTTTGCTCCAGGATTCCAGTTTATGCCCTTGGATATCATATAACTAAACTGTTTTCTATGGTAGCGTACTTTAAAAACAACAGTGCCTAACCGCACAGGATGACGCAGTTGGCATACTTATGAAAATTTACGGATTACGTTGGAGGTGTGATACGTTAAAGGTGGGGGATTAAACTCTACCGCTATAATGAATTTAGGAAAGGAGTGGAGAGAGAATTTGCCTTTCCCCCCCCCAAACTATGCATGTAGTGTACAACCTACATTTTGCAAAACATACACGTACATTTGGGGCCACAAGGTGGTGAGATGTTAAGAGCTAAACTGCCGGTATCGATTCCGGCCTGGGACACCACGTGAGGCACTATGTTCTACTGACGTCCACTCGGGTTTCTCCCTGTGCGTCGGTTTTGCTGCTACCTTTCTCAATACAGGCGGCCAGGATTAAACTGGTGTCTCTAAAATGTCTGTGTGCGTGTGCCCTGCAATGGAATTGCCATCGTCTATCATACAATCCTTTCCCCTGCATTGTACACATTTAAAAAAAAGTTCAAATAGGGAGTTGTGTCAGCATGCGTAGGCTGCACAGGAACAAGTTAAAAGGTTTATTCCATGCTGAAAACAGAAGAAGGGAAACACAACGTTGCGTTTCCTTTCTTCTCCTTTCAGCATGGACTAAACTTTTACCTTGTTCCTCCACATTTTAAAAATACGCATTAGCAGGAAGCCGCTGATGCACAAGGCGCGAAGCGGAACCACACCGCGGCGGACATACACACGGGCACACCGGGGTGACAACGACCAGAAAAGCCGGCCAGTATTTCTTCGAGAGACAGGAGGAGGCCCCCGCATCGGGACAAAATACACGTCGATACAGGGAAAGCGACCTGACCGGCACGGAGAATAGCAGAGGAGTTTATTGGCATCTGTACATTGGAACTCACATTCCCTCAGATCTCTTAGGACACGGACCGTACGGGAGACGGCACAGTACGACAGACAACACCACACCGTGTAGACAGTACATTACAAAACGATACATAATAAACTGTAACAGCCAGAACAATAACATTCGTTGTAAGAACAATAAATGTGTGGTTGTGAAAAACAAAACACGGTAGTCCAAGTCAAACGTGCACAGGTGCATTGAGTTCTGAGGCACCGCATCATTAGCTGTTAAGGATCCGAACTGCTATGGAGCGAGATGCTCATGTGAATTCCCAAATTTAAAACAAGGCATCTCTTTCTACTACTGCACTCTGCCTGAACGACCACCTCTTGCTGAGAGGGGGGCAGGTTGTTTAGCATCTTGAGAAGAG